ATATTTTTTGTAAATATGTATGGAGTTTCAAGCATTAATCTGATACATATTTTCAGTGTATATAGAAAATTCTTCATTGGTTATTTTAGCAAAACCTGTAGGAATGCTTATATCAAATTGGGTTTATAAAGAAAATTCATTCTAGATATAATGGTTTAATTTGCTAGAAAAATATTATTAAAAATACATTCTAAGCCTCTTCTGCATCTTGCAAGTCCACTCCTCTGAAAAAAAACAAACTTACTAATTATGAAGCATTATTGCTTTCCAGTGTATTTATTCTTAAGATAAAAATATTATTAAATATCGAATAAATATTTAATGAATATTTTGTGCTATCGGGGAAGCTGAAATTGAAGCAAAAATACTATACTTTATGTGGAAATTTCAAGATGGCTTCTAGACGGCCACTTGGAGCGTTTTTTATATAGAATGGGGGGTCGTGTCGTACCTCATTATGATGCTCATTATGAGTACATACTTTATAACCTTAGAACCTTTCCCTCGCCACCTTTGAAAATGGCGAAATGGAGGACTGTCAAAGTTGAGCGTTTTTATAGATTGAGTCACTTATACCTCAACAAGCAATTATCAAATCGTTATGTTATGTTATATCAATCTAATTCTCTTGATAAGGTCTATCTGAATATGTAATAAAATACGAAAAATTCAATTCGAATCAATAATTAAATGAATATATTATTATTCAAATGCTTAAATTTTAAATTTTAAAACGCGCAAAAAGCTCGCCGGAAGCTTTGTGTTGTCTGTCATTTTATACCCCCTCGTTCTCTTTTATCCATGCTTAGACTATCTCCATAAAACCAAGCTCCAGAAAATATTAAATAGCTGCTGCAGGTTTATCTTTGGTCTGCGTAAGTTTAACCACGTTACAGGTTAAATCAGGGAACTCAACTGGTTGGTAGTTAACGAGCTATCCATATTATTTTGTAAACGCATAAGATTCTACGAACTAACAGACCAGCCTATCTTTCTAGCAAATTAATTCCCCGCTGAGTTTTTCAAAAATTGATTGTACACATGTTTAGTAGTAGCCTCTATAGTGTATTTACACCCAAGACAGAATGGATGCGTGATTGCCAAAAGCAAGGACAGCATACAGGGCCGCATTTAGGCCTACCACCGAATGATGGACTACCACCAACGTGTTGTAAAACAAAGATGACAGTATTTAACGAAATTATCTAATATAGTGAAGTAGTTATAGTTATGGGTGTCGCAAAATCAAATTTTTATTCTTGAAGGGGTGCTAAGTTTTTCTACAGATTTTTCAAACTAGACAACATGGAGAAATACATACCTGAGGTAACCAGCTGCTCACTATGCACAATGAATCCGTAGTCAACGAGGGGTAGAGATGACACTTTTGTACATGAATAAATATAAGGCTGTTCAATCAATTGAAAATAGATTTTGAAGGTGCACTTCGGACTTGCATTGTCTGTAGTTTATCTGTAAGTTAATATTTCACTATAACCAGGATACCCATAATAAGTATTCTGTGACAAAACAAAAACGCGAAACTTACTCAGACTCACTTGAAGAGCTATCGTCATTAATGTTTATGATGATCGATTTAAAATCTCTCTCAATTATGTTGTCCAGCTCCCACATTGCTACCTCCACTTTCTCCTGAACATGCTGCACACATTTTTGCCATCTTTCTGGTGTGACCCTCTGTATAGCAATTCTGAACTGCTCTTGCATGCCAGAAAATTTAAATGTTGTATTATGTGCAGCAAAAAAATTCTTAACATCTGCCCATATGAGCTCAATTGAGTTGAGCTCCCAGTGGTAAGGCGGCAAACGGAGTACTGTTTTGTGGTGTGCTTTGGCCATTTCATCTATGACATATTTATCATGTCTTGGTCTGTGTTGTTTCACAATATCTAATAGTTGTAATTTCAGAAAGAAAGGGTCGAAAGTTATATTTTTGGAACGGAGCCAGCTCTGAATGTCTGATTTCCTAGAAGCTGAAGTTGGGACTTTTTCTATTTTGCGAGAATGGGGAGCATTATCCAAAACAACCACAGAATTGTCTTGGACAGGTGGTAAATGCCTGAAAACCACTTCTCGAATGCTTCCCCATTCATCTCTTCATGGTAGTCAGTGGTTTTTTTTTACTCAAAAGACCATAAGCCGTCATCCACCAAGCCATCTACACCCCCAATGTGGCAAATAATGAGCCTTTGCCTAGAAAGATAAAATCCGCTAAGTACACATGCACGTCTTGTAGGTACGAAGATAGAGAGATATTGTGCGCAAAAATCGATACCGTGAACTACTTCGATCTATTTACCTGCTGGATTTTTCAATCCGGTCGGCAGTCCATCTATAAATGCCCTTCTGGATGAAGTCACAGTTTTGTCAACCCATACCTTCGGAGTAGTGTGCCCAGCGTTGATCCAGGTTTCGTCCAGGTAATAGATCTCCCTGTGCTGATCCCTGAATGATTTAATTTTGGTCAGGTACTCTGTCCTCCAGAGAACAATTTCTTCTCTATCTATAAGTAAGCTGTTACGACCTCGTTTCTTTCATTCGAAATTAAGATGCTTCAACAGTTTATGAATAGTCGAACGTTTGAAATTTGGTAACATAGCATCCTCGTAGTACTTTATCAACTGTCGGTATTTCGTTTCTGAAGAAGAACTCGTGCACTTTCCACCGAATCGCATGCTTGTCAGCGTCATCCAACGATCTTATGATACTTTTGCGATTTTTACCCGTCATTGGCTTGGAAAAGGCATGCTTTTTCTTATGCTCGTTCAAAACATTGTACACTGTCGCTTGGCATACCCCAATTTTATCTGCCACTTTCAGAGCTATTTTCGGGTTAGTTGATGTTTCGTCTTCCTTCCGCTCTATCTTGGATGTATTCAATATAACGTCTTTCATGTCTACGCTAAAGTATCTTTTTTTTATCGCTTTCTAGGAGGGCTAAGTGAGTAGCCTACAGCCTCGTCAGCAGTATCTGTACTTTACATGTTCAGGATTGGTTCAAAACAAATAATAACGAGGAATAACAATAACAAACAGAAACTTAACAAATTAGTCAAATACACTTAACAACAACAACAGCAACAACCAAGCAAGGTGAACACGAGCACGCAGTGATACACGCGACGGTCGGTGGCCTGAATGCAACTCTGCCTGCCCTGCCCGTGCCCCGCGCATTATTCCGCCAGGCGACCGATTGAAATTTAATGGAGAATTGACCAATAAGAGGCGTTGTCCCCACCTGTTACCGAGAGATCACGCACTAACTGTTATTATTTACATCTCATCTTGAATTTGGATTCAGTTTTATAGACTGGATTATAGCAATAGTGGTGAATGTGGTCCAATCAATCTCCCATAGGTCGAAAAATACGCTAAAAATACAATTAAATTGGTAAATATCTGTTAGATATCGTGTTTGACACCTTTTTAGCATCACGACCCAAAAAAACAAAGATCTTCAGTAGCGGAGCAAAAGTAGGGAAATAGGGCTATTGCCATATTGCTAAAATTTGCCAAAAACTGTTTTTCAGCAGAACATCAAAAAAAACAAAAAATTTCTGATGAAGAAATTAATGAAAAAAACATAATAGAGAGCAAAAGAGTGGCTCAGTTGCCTGAAAAAAGAAAACTGTTTCTACAGTCTTTTCTGTAAGACGAAATTTTCAAGGAAGTCCAGGTCGTCAACATTGTCAAAGTAATTCGGCCCCCTTCGTCTTTGCTATACGTAATCACGTCGTAATCCATAAACATGCTTCAGCTTTATATTTATCGATAAATTGATACGAATTTGTCAATAAACGGCAAAGTCGTGTCAACAAAGGTCAGGTATTGTTATTTAACCACAGCCTTTCTAGATAACTCATTGATTGTCTTCTGGTTAAAGTTAGCTACCGTTTTAATATAAACATGATATTGAAAAACGCTCTTTCATAGATAAACATAAGTCGAGAACAAGATGGTAGTATAACCTGCGACTGAAAAACCGGGCCTAAGAGTGCGATCAGAGTGGCACCGTTTCCGGCCGAATGTTTCGGCCGAAAAAAAATGGTCTGTATGGCTCTGTTTTCGGGGGAAATATTTGAAAGGTTCTGTGACAGTTCTCTCTACTCGATAGTTAGCTTTTATTTTGCGTTTCTAGCAAAATGAACTTACAGACGTCTTTATCTGCTGCAACGAGTACCGCCTTAAAGATATCATTAATGAAAAAGAAGAAATATCACACAAACTATATTTTATCCTCTTTCCGCAACTACTGTAGCAACCAGCAAAATTGATTGAGTATATGAGACAAGACGCTTTAACCGTGACACAAGAGCAGCATATACGACACATTTAAACAATATTTTAACACTGTAGGATCTATGTGCCGTAGTAACGATTAATACCTACTAATAGTCTTGTACACTATTTTTTATTCCAAACTGTTTATATTTAGAATGTAATATCGAATGCTTGTAGTTTGCACTTCTGAGGCAATTTGATTCCACAGTTCACGTGTTATATCTCTATTCTGGTAGCTTTTATTTCTTATATCCCTCAAACTTTCGTTTTCTAAAACTAGGCTAATTAAAATTTCAAAGTCAACCATTCTTATGATATTATTCGCATCAAAATGCACCGAAGCTTCCGAAAAAAACAAATTATTTTGATTTCGTCCGATGTCCGAAAAAATCGGCCGTAATTGTCGGTCGAAATCGGATGTACTGTGACCAAGTTAATAGAATACCAAGAAATTAAAATGATCGAGGAATCGGGCGTACACGGCCGGAAATTTTATTTTGCCGAAAACGGAGCCAATCTGACCGCAGCCTAAGAAAATAACGTTTTGACAGCCCAGTTTACGTTGATTTGATTTTTTTCTCAAATTTGTTGCTTCTTGTCTAGCCGATAGATAGTGCGATTAGGAAATCTCTTCCTTACATACAGAGGCATTATGCTGGCATCCCTTTTATTATCACTTTACAGTTTTATAGTCCTTATTACATTTCTGCGACTAGCAAAAGCAAAAACCACAGGTGAAAGCTTTTCGCAGTTCTCGTATTCGTCCACTCGCGCATGTGTTTTACCGGCTTTGCCAGCTCTACCAGTTTCAGATCTGCGTTCAGTCCACCGACGCTCGTCGCTATCGCCAGACGGGTCTTCGTAAAACTTCGGTTTTCCACTCCGCGACGTCGGCTTTTCCGAGACCCAGAATCGCCCCTGTCGTTTTTCTCGATACAGCGGTGACACTCAGAAGATGTTATATCTGTGCTTCTGAACTTATCTTGTGCGCGTTTCTTGAGCGGATAAACTAAAGTGGAAATAGTGGTCGTTGGATTTTCAGATTTTTCAGAACACCTAAAATCGCCTAAATTGTTGTCTTTCGGCACCGCTGTGACACTCAGAAGATGTTATACCTTTGCTTCTGAACTTATCTTGTGCGCGTTTCCTGAGCGGATAAACTAAGTTGGCAATAGTGGTCGTTGGATTTTCCGATTTTGGACGGTCTGTGGGACAATAGTGGCCGTTGGATTTTGGAAAGTGATTGATTTTTGGATAGTGTTTGAATTGATAGTGTCAGATATGTGGCTGTTGCATCTCTTCGGATTATTTGCGTTTGCTGCAGCAGGCAGAGAGGTCTACGAAAGAATAGGTAGGATTGAATTGAATATAATGTTATTTATTCCCCATTTTTTATCACTACAAAAACTAAAATCAGTTACTTATAATAAGGAATTTCTGACTATCACAGACCGTCAAATAAATCCGTCCAAGCAAATTAGTGATATGATGTTGCATAGCCTGCCTTTATTGTAACAAATACCTACAGTAAAATTCCCTTATATACAGGGTGTCTGCGAAAGGTTGGGAAATCTCGAAACGAGATACTACAGACCAAAATATGTGAATTGACCTAATCGTACCATAGTCCAAGAGTTGATAGCTTGCGAGATACAGGGTGCCACAGTTACAATTTTATTTTCTATCTTTCCTTATTGCTTGAGAAGTATTTCAGATTTTGACATGAAATTCGGTATAGGAAGGTTTTCTAGTATAAGAAACAAGAATCCGTTACTTGTTATGGCAAAACTTCTAGAGGGCGCCACTTACAGCACTATCTCGGTAAATAACTTATCTTAACTTTTTTTTGCTACCCTGTATATAACAACTGATTAGAAAATCTTATTTTCTCGTATTTCCACAACAAAAAACAAGTTTTCTTGTTAGCATTGTCTAAAGCTAATACGAGCCACTTCCCACTTCAGTTGGCCCACTTCAAAATTTGTACCAAAATATCCCTTTATAAACTAAACATGACGAAACTATTTAATTCTAAAACAATTTATTTTCTCAAAAACATTTTAGATACACTCTAGTCGTAAAAAACATATTTGAAATCACTTAGACCTATAACTAATAGAACATCTGAACAAATAAACAATGTGCGAATAAATGCGCGAAGTTAACAAAGCAACAATTGAAAGATTACCATTGGGTTACATCACCTTTATTTTTTATTATGGCTGAAATTCTTTGGGGCATAGTGTTAACCAAGTGTTGTCAAAAATTTGGTGTAAAACAATCCCATATTTCTTGAAGCTTTTGTCTCAGTTCGGTGCCTGTACGAGCAAGATGTTGTCGTAGAACCTTTTTCATCTCGTGCCACAAAGTTTCAATAGGTGATAGATCTGGACTGCTAGAAACCAATTTAAAAAATGGTACATTATTTTCTTCCATCCATTTTATAGCCTTTTTTGAGGTATGGCACGCTGCACCATCTTGCTGAAACACAAAGTCTTGGCCGGATGTCAAACATTCTTCCATCACTGGTAAAACCGATTCTTCTAAAATTGCCAAATACTCGTATTTGTTTGTATTCACATTGCCATCAATAAAATGAAGTTTTCCTACTCCTTTTGATGACATATTGCCCCAGACCATAATAGATGCTGGAAATTTCACTTTTCTCTTCAGACAGTCAACATGGAATGCTTTTTGCGAATAACTCTACTGCGACTGTTACCAACACAAACTTCGAATCGGGCCTCATCACTCCATTGTATTGCACACCATTGTTGAGGTGTCCATTGTCTATGTTCTTTAGCCCATCTAAGCCGATTTTTCTTTTGCAGTGGAGTTAATAGTGGCTTTTCGTTGGCAACTTTAGGGTTTTTACTTTACTTTTTTTTATAAGAAAACATACCTTGCAAGTGCTAAATTCCAGTTTGTGGGCCTCTCTATGAGTTGTGCACCTCGAAATTCTCCTTCCAACAGCGTCACTCCACAGAGCACTTAATTGTAAATAATTGGCACGCCTGTTTTTCACGATTATTCTTCTTAATGCTCTTCGGTCGGCATTTGTGATATTACTTTTTTTCACACATCGTGGCTTAATATTAACTGAACCAGTTACGTTATATCTTCTAACAATATTTCTCACACTGTACCGCGATAAGTCTAACAAAGTTGCAATTTCCGAGTTTGATTTCCCAGAATTAAAAAATTTAATTATCAGTAACCGAATTTTCTCACTAATAACCTTTCCTCTACCCATTTTGAAAACCTTAACTACCCAAAACTATTTTAAACGTATTCTGACAGCTGTGATTAATAAAAACAATTGTCATGGCTTTTATTTTTCACAGCCACCTATGCGTTATAGACTTATTTTGCATTGAAATGAAAATAGGTTGATATGCTGTAATTGCAACATGTGTTATTTTTATGCTGCAAATTTGATTAGGGAGTGATAAAGTTTGTGTTTTCTACTATATATTATCAAAATATTCATTGTTAATATTTTAAACCTATAACACCCTGCTACATTTTTATTATTTGTGTTTGATAAGAAAAACACTAAGATTTCAATAGTTGGGCCAACTGAAGTGGGAAGGTGCTCGTAGTTTTCGAGATATTCGTTTTTATGCCAAAATCTGAAATACTTGTCAAGCAATGAGGAAAAATAGAAAATAAAATTGTAACTTTGACACCCTGTATCTTGCAAACTATCAACTTTTGGACTAAGGTATTTTGGTCTGTAGTATCTCCAGTTCCGAGATTTCCCAACCTTTCGCAAACACCCTGTTCACTTTTGATATCGTTAGCACTTTTCAATACTGTTCAAGTCAATTTTATGCTGCTGATATTCAAGTTTTCTATAGTTTCTTGCCGAGCAACCACAACATGGCTACCAATGTTATTAATCAAGATTTACAATGTATAATTACAAAGCACAATTAACGACTTAACGCATCCAGCTTTACTTTTCTGTTCTAAGAACAAAATAAATCAAAATTAAAATTAAACATATCTATCAATAATTCCATACTGTCATTTTCCCATAACTCGGATACAGATTTGTTTTTTGGTGGGATTATCAAAATAATATAACCAACTTTCGACATTCACGTTTAATTTACTATTCTCTCTAGATTCAAATCTATTCGGCATCTACCATTTGCAATAAGTAACTTTTGTCATGTTCCGGTCGTCAGTTAATCTGTGGGGTATAAAAACGGGTCCGAAGCTTCCTGACCTTTAAATGATCCCCATAATTATTCGCCCAACACTTCGTTCAGAAATATTCTGCTGTCTTTATCTGATTCGCATGTTTTTCATTATAAGTTCTCTCGCAAATCCTACGTGTTTTCAGTTACGACTTCGTGTGGGCGGGACTAGACGTGGATCGTGTTCTAAATTAAATTAGACCACGTCTTGATGGTCTTCAAAGACAGCTTATCTTCACCAAATATTTTTAATTTCATTTGTTAGACCACGGTAAGGACATGGAAAGCAATGATACGGTGAACAGCCGCGAACGAGCACATAGCGATATTGTTAATTTCTTTGCATTGACAGCAACGCTTATGGTTTGTATTTGTACTAACCAAAGCGGATACTACGAAAATCTAACCATAACCTAGCTATGTTGTAGTTAATTACCAAAGAAAAAAATATGCTGTGTTCCTCGAACAGCTAATATTTTCAAGAGGATGGATCCTAGAAAATTTACCCTCTTACTCACTTTTCGAACAGGTGAAGTTAGCGATATGGAATTCGAAGTGGCGAAATTGGTATTTTAACATAAAAGTACCAGTTGAAAATTTCAAATGGCAGTGGTCATGTGACGCCTCATTCTGAAAATCAAATTTGAGCGCTTTTGTTGATTGAATCGCTTGTAACTCAACAACTAACAACATTATGTATGTATGTTATACTAAGCTTCTTCTTTTAGAAGGGTATATGAATGTACTACTAGTAGACATTTATTTACTCCATAATATAACAACAATAATAGCAACATAGAATGAGTAAATAAATATGTTTTAATCCATGAAACATGTATTGTGACAGTCCAAAAACAAAACAAAAAAGTTAAAAGAACTTAAAGACGAATTCATATCAAAGCGGTGTTTTTTAGAGATAATACGTTTTAATGAATATTTGATATAAGTTCAATAATATGTTGTCTTCGTATTGAGCGTATCCATTTTGATATTTTTTTTTAAATTATGTTACCAGGTCACCTTCCCCGTGGTTTACTGATGCGTTGCGTGCGATGAAGAATCACCGTAACTATCTTTTCTCTAAATACAAACGTACTAAAAATTTACGGGATTGGGCATCCTACAAAGAAATGAGGATTTTTTTTACGTCAGCTGTTCGACAAGAAAAGAGAGCTTATATTGATTTTGTCGGTCGTACTAAAAAATCCAAAGACATGTGGAAGACACTAGACCAACTTAATATCTATAAGAGATCTAAAAAAAATATAAAAATTCCTAACCATCTTAAAAACCCAAATTTAATTAATCAATATTTTATCGACTCGGTGCGACAAATACCTAGCACTGTCGATACGAATACTATTTCTAAATATCTTAATTCCAAATGTACAACCGCAGAATTTGAATTGAAACTCGTTAGTGAAGATGACGTTTTCTGGGCAATATCGGAGATTGGGTCAAACGCCTCTGGTGCAGACGGAATTAGCCTTGACATGGTGAGGTTGTGTTGTTCAACCATCTTACCCGTGCTGGTTAACCTATTTAATTCCTGCATACAAAAGGGCATTTTTCCTGCCCAATGGAGAACGGCTGTGGTCCTGCCGCTGCCTAAAATTAGCAGTCCTAAGGATGTCTCTGATTTGCGACCAATTAGTATACTACCAGTGCTGTCTAAAGTTTTTGAAAAGCTTATTTATAGGCAAATCATTACTTATTTCACAGATAATAATTTATTACCCAAGTTGCAGTCTGGATTCCGTAAAGGGTTTGGTACTACCACGGCTCTGTTGAAGGTTCTAGATGACATTCCTTTGGCTGCGGACACGGGGGAAACTTCGGCATTGGTGTTGTTGGACTTTAGCAAGGCCTTCGATACCCTGAACCATGCATTGCTGTGTGCAAAACTTTTGTACTATGGATTTAAACTTAAGACTATTCAACTTATTCGTAGTTATTTGGATGACAGATCGCAGTCGGTCTCAATTGATGGGCTTAAATCAAAACCCTCGAACGAGGATAGAGGAGTTCCTCAGGGATCACTTTTGGGTCCTTTATTTTTTATCATTTTTACTGCTGATATGTCGAAGTGCTTTGGTGACATAAACAATCATAGATACGCTGACGATACACAGATTCAGCTTTCTTTTGTTAAGTCGGACGCAATTGAAGCGGCTAGGAGGCTAAACGAGTGTTTGGATTCAGTTTTTAAATACTCTTTTAATCATGGCTTGAAATTGAATCCTAATAAATCAGCCATAATCTACTTTGGGCCAGCTAAAGATTGGGCGTCTGTAAACTTGATGATAGCAATGGATGGTGTGGCAATACCGGTTGTTGAGGAATATAAAAATTTGGGCGTTATCTTTGATAACAAGCTTAGATTCCGAAGTCATGTATCTAGGCTTCTACAAAAAGCCTATTTTAACCTTCGCAATATTTACAAAAGTAAAGATATTCTTAGTTTTAAGTTAACCCTTTATAGTGCAAGACTTCAATCTTCATCAACAAGAGTAATAAACACCTGAGTTTTTGTGAGCAGGGACAAAAACTACTGTTTATATGACATTTTGTTGATTACAGTTTCCAAAATGGCGTCCAGGTGGTGGTCCTTATAGTGACCACCACACATTTAGGGTGCGTTTAAGTCAAATGCGTTTGATAGCTTTCAATAAAACAACTTTTATTTTTTTACATGAAACTGTTCAAAACATTGTAAGCAAAGTCCAACATTGCACTCTTTGCACTGAATTTTTGTCCTCTTGACATTTTTCTTAGTACTACAATACCCACATCGTCGTTTTGTACCAGGGACTGGCAAATGTTGACCCACGTTTGTCATTCGCTGTGTATTTTCAACGGTTATCTTACGGCCATTGATTTTGTTGATTTTATTTTTGTTTATTTGTGGTATAGGCCCCATTGATTTCCGGCCACTGAATGAACCGATCAGCTGATTAGCTAAAATACTCCTATACTGTAGTTGAGATATTGGTTTCTCTTTAGTCTGTTTTTTCGTTTCTGAGTAGAGAATGTAGCTATTTACAACTGAGGCATCAAAAACAAAGTAAAAAAGTTTCATCCACCATCGCCTGCTTTTCCAAGAGACATTATATGGAGACATGAGCTGATCAAACTTGTCCACACCCAGCATATATTTATTATAATCTGATACCGCACTTGGACAAATAACTTCCTCGCGATTCCCTTGGGCATTCGTTCTAAGAACAGTTGTTTCTTCCCTTGGATCGTGAAAATTGCTAGCAAGTAGGACTGGTTTGGTACCTCGATCCTTCCATTTGTATACAGAAATATCACCGGCCATGCAATAGTCAGATTCTCCACGTTTCAGGGATTTATCGTTCCTCATTTTACTTTTTGGGAAAAACTTTTTATTTTTCCTTAGTGTGCCACATGCAAATGTATTTTTTGCAAGAAGCATTTTGAGCAATGGAAAACTATTGAAAAAGTTGTCAAAGTAGAGACAGCGCCCCTCACCATTATATTTATCAGACATTGTAAGAACGGTTCTTTCTCCCAGGCTTATACCTGCCGAATCAGTTTGCTCTTTGCCTTCATATATCTTGAAACCCAAGTTGTAACCGGTTCGAGAACAAGCAATCACCCAAACTTTAAATCCCCTTTTCACTGGTTTCATGGGCATATACTGTTTCAACGTAGTACGACCCTTGAAACCAACCATGCTTTCATCAATGGAGAGTTCCCTGTAGGGAGCGTAAAGGGTTGAAAATCGTTCGTTCAAAATATCAACAAGTGGACGTATTTTATATAGCTTATCAAAGTTCTCTTGTCCTCGCTGTGGCATAACTTCATTGTCGTTTAGGTGAAGGTAGCGAAGAATATGTAGAAACCTCTTTTGTGACATTACGTTACTTATGCGGCTTACATGGAAGTTTTGATCTGTTGACCAGTACAATCTTAGGCTTGGCAGGGTATGGAAGCCCATTATCAGTAGCATACCAAAAAACGCTTGCAACTCATCCCGTTGTAAATTCAAACCAACTCCTTTTTGCTCTGCGTACCTGTTAGACTCGGTAATAATCATATCATATACTACGTCCGAGAATATTGCGTGAAAATACTGCACAGGTGAATCGATGGTTCCATTTGTCAATCCAACTATATCCTTGACACCTTGATTATAGTTGAAATCTTTATAGGTCTTTGGTTGGCTTCCAATTTTCGTCCAAATGAACTCGACATCATCCCCATCAGCACCTGTCTCTTCTGGTTCATCTTCATCATTTTCAACGTCCTTTGTTGAGATGTCTAAGGCTCCTTGACATTCATTCATCCCACTGTTACAAGCATTAGTCATCTCAGATCCACTGTCTGATCCAGAATATTCATAATCGGGATCTTTTACAGAATCATCTGAATCATCTTGATAAACGTTACCGGAAGTGGTAGAAGTATTGGCTGATACACTTCTTGAAACAATGATGCCTGACTTTGCCCTGGTGGTAGGTTTTGACTTGGGAATAAACTGTTTTGTCAATGGAAGATTGTCGTCGGCATCACTTTCTCCTTCAAGATCGGAATTTATAGCCTGAGCGTCGGATATTGCCTCACAATCTGCTACTATCTGTAGAAGCTCCTCCTGTGTCGTTTTCTGAAGCTCTTGAAACGTCCATTTAGTTTTCGAATTCATATTCTGAAAGAAAAGTGCCAGATTCAAATTCCGATAACTCGTAAGCCGAATAAAATTTCAAAATCACTCTTTGTATTGAGTATCAGTAGCATATATTGAATAACATACGCATGTAACTATAAACGAAGATGTCGCATATAGATGTAAAATTAAAATTCAAAATTTATCTTTTTGAGGTTAGAAGTGTGGTACTTACCTTTATATGACAAAAATTATTGATTTATCTGATACTTTTTACTCGAACATTAATTTATTCACCTTTACAACAGTGCAGATGACAATTCTTATAATATTTTTTATCGTGATCACCAGTAAGTCAGAAAAAAATAACACAATGTAACACTTCGCGCGAAAACAGTTTTTATGCTTGCTCGTTATGCAAGGTGGTCCGATAAGGGACCACATAATAGTTGCGCGCGCTGATCACGTGTTCAGCCACCAGTAGTGGTCCTCTAAAATACCACCGACTAATCCACACATATCGTTCTGTCAGCAAGGCTCATTTTTAGCGCACCGGTTACGCGAAATTGATACCTAACAGAGGTGGTCCTCAATGGGACCACCAACAGTTAAAGGATTAAAAAAGGTTCTCTGCGAAGCACTGGTCTTGTGTCACCTTAACTATTGCAACTTTGTGTATGGTCCTTGCTTAGATGTATTTACTAAGGATAAACTCCAAAAAGTGCAGAATTCTTGCATACGACTTATTTACCAGCTTAGACGTCACAATCATGTCAGTCATAAACTTTCCGAACTGAAATGGTTGAATGTTTCCAATCGAGAAAAGCTGCATTTTGCTTGCTTTCTTCATAAATTGATTAAAACAAAAAGCCCACCATATCTGTTTGAAAAATTAACTCGTGGAAATCTGATTCACTCTCGTGCAACATGCTTTAATGTACTTTATGAAATACCTAAAATAACTAAAACCATGACTCAAAGCTCATTTTCCTATACATCAGTCAAACTTCTAAACCAATACAATATAGGTCAATTTGAAGATATGTCTCCTAATATGTTCAAACGAAAACTGAAACAACTGCTTCTGTGAAGTATAAGCTGTTTATTATTGCTTATTTTCTTTGTATACGTACATATGTTGTTATTATTGTTCATTGTTGTTATGTAATATTCTAAAATTAATGTAATGTAAAACTTGTTTCTTGTCATATTACTTTTCTTTTTATCTTGTTGTTACTTTTTACATGCTCGGTTAAGTTAACAGCATAGCGGCCTTCGCCGAGTTTAAAATAAAGGCGTTTTTATTTATTTATTTATTATTAAATTCTTCTACGTCCACGTGTACGTGTTCATATAATTTTGAATCCAAATAGAGAAAATGTAGCTTCATTATGGTGTTATGAGGCCTAGGGACAGTTATTGTACGTAATTTATATTGAGTAAGATGGCAATATGTAATTTTATCGCACTCGCTCACAACTTTGTGATAATGGTTACAGTTGCTTGATATCAAATAATTTTCATCATTATTTGTTGAACATATTTTTTTGCCATAGTTTTCAAAACAGTTCTCTGTAAAACTTTTTTATCATTCAAATACGCTGTACATGCTGTACCCCATGATAATATGCCATACATTAGGTGCGGTTCAATTAAAGCATAATATACAGTTCGCATTTTCTGTCAACATGCCTGTGAGGAATTTAATTTTTTATGTTAACAAATTTTCTTTTCATCAAAATGTAGGCTCCATGCATGTTCCATCTCAAATGTTGGTCTGAAAAAACTATTTGATATTGTCCACACTGTCAGTTTTTTTATTCGTATCGTTTATTTTGAAGGAAAGATTTGAATAATCGGGTAAATGTCAGCGTATGATGTAAAGGGTACACCATTTGTTTTTTCAAACTTCATGGTTAATGGTGTGTTGAAAAAATGAATGATCATACAAATGTCATTCTCGATTATTCTCTTTACATCACACCAGTCTTGCCCTTTATATTGTATTGCCGTACTATGAGCAAGCTGACTATTTTTATCCACACACTTAATTCTGAATATATCATTCGAATAGATATTGAATAAAAGAGGGCCTAACACTGTACCCTGAGGTACACCATTTTTTACAAACATTCCCTTACTGTATGATTTTGATAGTTTCCACACGTCGTTTCTGACAAAAAACATTGCATTAATGAATTTACTTTTTTAACGAAAACCTAATACCCATGTCTAATATTTTTAACAGTAAATTGTGATTGACTGCATCGAGTGCCTTTTTTAGATCGACAAATTCACCAATAGATGAAATTTTCTTGTCACGGATTTGGGTAATCATCTGTGGTAGATTTTCCTGCTACAGAATTGTATTCACTTGGACTTAGAATTTTTGATTTATCACGGAAATTTATTTTACAAGTAATTTTTCGAAAATTTTAGCCAAAGTCGATATGGGCGACATTGGTCGATAATCGGTTATGTCTTACAAATATAAAAAATTCCACTAAAGAAGTCAAAATCTGCCAAACTTTTTAAATGACTCAAAATGGTGTACAGGGTCCGGCAATGAAGTATGGTGTTTTTGAAAAAAATTACAAACTTTCATTTTTAAACATACATCAAAATTTATTATTTTAATACATTAGTGGAATGATGCCATTTAAGTAACATAACATAGTCAGGTGCGAAAAATTACATCAGTTAGGTGGCGTCCATTCTTGTCGATGCATTCTTGGAGACGGATTGCAAAATCGTCCATACTCCTTTCTAGCATGGCACGAGGAATCCTTTCAATTTCGCGCGTTATGAGTTCCGAAAGAGCCTCAAGAGTTTGCGGTTTGTCTATGTAAACTTTGGATTTTAAATAGCCCCATAAAAAGTAGTCACAACATGAAAGGTCTGGTGACCGAGGTGGCCATTCCACATTTCCATGCAACGAAATAAGGCGCCCAGAAAAATGTTCCCTTAAAAAGCCCATTGCAGCTCTTGATGTATGGCAAGTCGCCCCATCTTGTTGGAACCAAACTGTATTGATGTCAATGTGTCATCTTCTTAGTTCGGGCAGAAAATAATCACGCAACATGGCGCAATAACGATCTGAGTTCACTGACACTGTTCGTCCGTTTTCACGAAAAAAATATGGGCCAATTATGCAATTTCGAGATACGGCACACCAAACAGTTACCCTCTCAGAGTGCAGAGGTTGTTCATGCAGTTCTCGTGGGTTTTCGTGTGCCCAGTATCGGAAGTTTTGTTTGTTTACCATGCCCGATAAATGAAAATGGGCCTCGTCACTCATGAACAAAACGATGTTGCCGTGCAGCAATTCCAGCATCCTTTCTGCGAACCTGTGTCGTCTCACAAAGTCATTTTGGAGCAGCTTCTGCACAACCATAATTTTATACGGATGGTAATGGAGGTCCAAATGCAAGATTCTGCGAACTGAACGATCTGACATTCTAAGAGCGCGAGCGTGACGTACCGCTGAACGGTGAGGGCTAGTATCCACCGCTTGTTGCACTCTTTCAATGTTTTCCGGAGTTCGCACTGTTTGATCTCTTCCCCTTGCAGTACCAGGTCTCAACGATCCGGTTGTTTGAAATTTATTCACCCACTTCAAAATGGTATCGCGTCTTGGAACGCGACCATGCCGACCAACGTTAAAATGGTTTCGAAATCGTCGCTGAGTGAGCACAACAGAACGACCAGTTTTAATAAAAGTGTTGTAAATAAACACGCGATGTGCCACAGACCACGGCTCCATGGCTACTAAAATGGCATCGCGGAACGAGTAGATATTAATCATCGTGAAAACATTGGCTCGACAGTGCTGCATGTAATAGTCGTTGCAAAAACACCATACTTCATTGCCGGACCCTGTATAAGGCAATATCTATTCCATTAAAAAAAATGTTCTGAAATTCTAAAACATCATCACTCCAAATTTCAACTTGCTAACTACACCCGTTCAGAAAATAAGTAGGGTATGATAATGACTTACAGTCATTACATGCTCCTTTCGAAAACCATAGGGTGAATTTGATCAAAAGAACAAAAGCTGTACAAAGACGATATATTTCTGTATTTCCAATTCATCTAACATCAAGCTGCCGAGGAAGGTCAAATTATAAAAAAAATCTTGCTTAGGAAGTGAAAGTGGCTACTGTCCCTCTAACTCAATGAACATTTCATTTATCTGGGACAAATCAAATAAATGTTATCACTTTGAGTTGTAAGTGCCATAACTCATGAATTTTTACTAGGCATGTCTCGTATCTTGATATGCTTGACAGAAAAACGAAGTATACAGAGGGAAAAAATATACGGCACGTGGGGCGACAGTATTAAAATTTTATATTGGCTGAAAGACGAAGAGCTACTATGATATACGGAGAATGTAGTATTAAGAAACTTTTCCCAATCGTTTTATCTGTTATTAAATATTTCAACTGAAAGGGCAAAAGAAAAAGGGTCCAGACGGAATTTCACATTCTTTGTTTTGTTTTGGAAAAGGTACAGATCGCTGACTCATTCTCCTAACGATTTATGCTGAAACGCAAAGGGAGGAGAACAACGTTGGCCAATCGCTTTATGAAAAATTGAAGGAAAATAATAAGAGAAGGTTTGTAAATTTATAAATATGGAGTTTGCTTATGGATTTCTGCAAATGAGAAATGTACTATTTGCACACTAGGAACTATCTAGGCAGCAAGTTGGCATTTTGTCGTTTTTTTTGACGTTTCATAGGTTTGTGTATTTAATAACCCTGAGGATCTATAAAGAACCCTACTGAAAATCGGTTTTCCTTAAATAACTTCTGAACGGCTGTGGAACTCAACTAAATTTTTACAGATAAACTACTACTCGAAGCCTCATATGGTAACTCATTTAGATCACCCTAATTAAACTCTTTTCTTATCCTCAAGTTGAAAAAATACTCCTTTCTGAGGTCAATAAAATAAACCGTTCTAGAGAAAATCATTTTTTTTTCGGAACAGTTCTATTAATATTAGCACTAGATCCAGTATAATATACTAAGT